GAAATAATTTCAGCAAATTATTAGCGAAATTTACTTAAACGCGTTAGATCCAAGAATGACATGGATATTTTATGTGATTTGAGATTAAGTTGAGCAGACCCAAATATAGGAGCACAAATTTTGATTATAACTGACACCTAGGCGGCATCAAACATTGGTTAAATGGTAATGTAATACTTATGTTGTTTTAATGTGCCTTTCAGGGAGGAGGCAATCAGGAAATTCGAACCTTGTAACCGGATCGGCCTCTCCCTTACCCTGTGACTACGGCTCCCCTCCTTCTTGAATATTGTATTTTCCCTATCCATCTTGTCACCTTTAATAAAGATGTCCAAAGCAAATCAACCAGACTTGTCTAGGAACGCTAGGAATTGGGAAGCGGAGACCGAGGAGCCTCGCTCCACAGTAAAATGAACTGGTCGACTCCCTTAGTACGGAGAAAATAAGGTTTTTGCAACTTTTCTTCCAACTTCCAACAGTAACTTGTAATATGGATGCGGATTTTACCATTAAATGCTTATATGCATCCCATAAAATGTCAATTTGACTGAGAGAACGAATGTGATTCCTGTATGTCAGTATTTCAAACTAAAGTTGGCACGATTCTAAAGGCATAAGAGCAAGCTTCCCATCAAATTTACCAGAGATCAATTGTAGAAATTGCGTTGGCAGGATGCATGTGGAGAAAGTGATATAAAAAGTGACTTTGATGATAAACCACACACAGACGGATAACATCAAGAATAATAATAAAATTACAAGTCGTTGGTAAAGACTAACAAGCCAGGAAAACTTTGATCAGTATTAAAAGTGAGTGATGAGGTAGAGGGAAGTCTTGAATTAAGTTAAGCAACCGGCACTCATGCCCTGCAGCAAACTACCAATTTGTTCTTCTTTTATGTGCTATACTTTAAAAAAGCATTGTGGAGAGAGAACTGCTTCTCCACTAAACAAGTGGCTGAGGATACGATTTACATTCCATATTTCGTTGCTAATTTACTCATTACTCTATTTTGAAATGACAGGATACCAAGCCATTACTAAAAATCTGTGCTTTGTGAGTGGGCGCGTGAAAACCAGTCACCATCTACGGCTAAGATCTGGCCAGTCAAGGGGATACATGTGGAGAGTACACAAGAAGGCGCTTTTTGGAGAAGCAAGCTTAACTAATGTATGAGAAGAAGATCATCTCTCTTTGGGGTCTTTTAAAAAACCTTTTATGCAAGGCCTCATTCCGTGAGATGATTGGCATATCATGATGATTTAAATGAGGTGGAGGGACAGAGGCTGGCTATTTGTCATCTCGGCTATCAGCTATTCCTGTCAGCAGCAACAGGCACACACATGAGAAAGGGAGTAAACAGTTGGAGAATGAGGGGAGTGAGATGGAGACGGAAGCGACTGAAGGCGGATGGATGTTTTGGCCCTTAGTTGCAAAGTATATTTAATCTTGGCCTTGTTAAACTTGCCTCTAGTTGGCATTGGCCTAGAATCCGTGTGGTTAAATGATGCTTGTTTCATTAAATAATAGCT